GGGATGGAGGCTGCTGGTGGCTTGGAAGTCCCCTCTCAGCCCCTCCTGGCCCTGGCCGGACTTCCCACCCCCACCCCAATCCAAACCCGTGTCCCCCTCTGAAGGGAGCCCACTTCTGGGGACTGCCGGGCGGGGACAGGTGGGTCCCTACACTAGACCTTCACGTTCTGTAAGACAGTCACCAGCTTAGGAGAAAGGTGAAGTAGTTAAAATAGACAAACAGGGGCCCGGAACTCCAGCAGGGCAGTGGGTCTGGCGCTGGCATGGGAGGACTGAACAGGATTTTCCTGCTCTGGGCGACCTTCCCTGGGCAGTTCAAGGCAGCTCCACAGGGACCTCTAGCCACTGTCGTGTCAAACTGCGGTCCCGGGGTCTTCTGGCTCCAAGCCTGCTGGGCCTGACCTCTCACCAGGTTTCACCACAGGACCCCAGAGCTTCCCACCCCCCCTACGTTTGGACATGGCACACACCCAGCAAGGGGGAGGGAGGGTCTCCCCCAATGCCCAGTGGAGACCAGTGACTGACGCATGACAGGTGTGACCTTCTTGCAGGGTTATTACCAAGAAAATGGCTAGTTCTCTGCTCCTCCACAGCGTGACCAGCTCATCCATGTAATGCGTGGCCTCAGGCTCTCCCACACCGTGACGGAGATTGACTAATGCCAGTGGTCCCCACCCAGCCTACCATCACCAGACTTACAGAGGGGACCTCTAGCAGAGCACTTGCCTAAGGCCACTGGGCTAAGTGCTTGAGCTGGGATCCGAGCTTACATAGCCCTTTGGCTTCAGAGCTTATACCCTACCCTGTGCTTGACGTTGCCTACCCCAAGAGATCTGGACTTTTCTTACATGTGACCTTTGCCATTTCTTCTTTCTTTTCTTTTTTTTTTTTAAGATATATTTATTTGAGAGAGAGAGAGAGCATGTGGGGTGAGGGGAAGGGTAAAGGGAGAGGTAAAGAGAGTCTCAAGCAGATTCTGTGCTGAACACAGAATCCAACACAGGTCGATGTCATGACTCTGAGATCACAACCTGAGCTGAAACCAAGAGTCCAACGCTTAACCGACTGTGCCATTTCTCTACCACACACCTTTAATACAAGTGGCAAAGCAATTCTTCAAAGGACCCCTATGTCCCAGCGGCTAAGGGGTCACTGGATTCTTTTTTTTTTTTTTTTTTTTGAGAGAGAGAGCGCACTTGAGAGGGGGGAGGGTCAGAGGGAGAAGCAGACTCCCTGCTGAGCAGGGAGCCCGATGTGGGACTCGATCCCGGGACTCCAGTATCATGACCTGAGCCGAAGGCAGTTGCTTAACCGACTGAGCCACCCAGGCGCCCGGGGTCACTGGATTCTTAGAGCTAGATTAAAGGACCCAGTCTGACATGTGACAGTATGAACGCCCCCACACTAACCATCTGGGGACTCCCAATTCCCTCCCTGAAGGAAGGAAAATAATGTGTGTCCCATCTACCTCTTGGGCTTGTTGCGAGGATGAGATAAATCACGGTGTATGAACTTACTTTGTAAAATTAAGTCCTATGACAATCATAACTTTTATTTTTGAGAAAACTCAACCTATGGGTAGCCAATTGATATTTGAAGCAAAGGAAAGAAAAGCAGCTAGTATTTGAGTTTTTTAAATGTCCAATGTTACCAGTGACCTAAGAGTTGTCAGTTAAAATAAAACAATTCTATTTTTACCTGTTAAATTCAGCACCCTGGGCGTGAACTATCCTATGCTATTTGCAGGACTAATTGACATAAACTCTCAGGAGCCATTCGGAACAAGTACTGACAGCTTTTGGCTCGCTAACTCCACTGCTGGGAATTGAAGGAAATAACCAGAGATATGGAATATGCTCTATGCATAGAGAGCTTTCTCTTAGAGCAAGGAGGAACTGGAAGTCACTTAAATGTACAAAACCTGGAGAGAGTGAAAACAGCACTTAGCTTTTGTCTGTCCCGTGTTCCTTTAGTTAGCCTAACTTTTCCTTTTCTTTCAGAAGCCCTGCTTCAGAGTTCTCCCAGCTCCCGTGCTTCTGAGGGGCGCGGAGCTGAACCCCCAGCCGCAGGGAAGGATACATGACCCAGCTCAGCCAATGAGGGCGGCCCATTCCCGGACACAGTGATTATTCCGGAATGGCCCTCTCGCCGGAAAGATGGGCCCGCTTTGCTGTAAAGATTAAATTGGCTGCAATTAAAACCAATACGGTGGAAAAAGGAGCCAGGAGATGAAGACAGCGCTAAAGGAATATTTTAAGATCAATGAACTCCTCTTTTTGCTTAAACTACTTTGACGGGGCTTCCTGTCACTAACAACTGAGCACTAATACAGACCATTATTGCGGAGCCGGAGGAGACGGATCTGATGAAATATTCTGCAGCCAGTCTAAGTCATCCTCAAGAGTGGTTTCTGGGAACATAACAAGCCTACGATTAAGTGAAAGAAGTGTGATACACGATCCATATACAGCCTGATCTTGACTGAAAAATTTCATGGGCGCAAAAATTGGAAGCCAACACATCAAAATATTAGCAGCCATGCTGACTGGTGGGATTATGGATTGTTAAACTTTAAAAAATTGTCCATACAGATACATATCTTACAATAAATACTAAGGAAAAAACTAAGAAAAAGATAAAAGTTTTGTTGGTTGACTTATACCTCCTTTGATTCCAAAAGGACTTAAGCTATAATGGTCTTCTCAGATGAATATTTTAGAGCTTTTGGCTCTGACGTGACAGTTTGGAATTCCTCTAAAAAATATGGACCTACCAGCTTTGCACAACAGTAGAATGCTAATTTTTTTCATTACTAAAACTGAAAACATGCTCCATGATAGGAAAGCAGGCTCTGCTCTTCCATTACTTTGTGACCTTCAGTCTGAATATCACTAAGAAGGGAAATGTGACATTAACAACCTCAGGTCCGGTTATTTATGCATTGATTTCATTGAACCCTGCCTCATTTCACAAAGGATTTTTCTCCACCCACTCCATGCCTCCAAGGAATCTGAACTTGAACTAGAAGACAGAATAAAAACGCTAATTATTGGCAACGGCCTGGTAAAGACAAACAGCCTTGACCTGCTAAGCACAGACCCAAAGCCAATAAAATATCCGCCAACACAGTCATCTGGGCTCAGTAGTTTCAGGCTCTCCCTTTCTATTTTTCATTCTCTTTTCTTGATCAGGGCCTGCCTTGTTCTCTGCGCCAAAGCCAGACACTCATCCCCCATCTGGGAAAGGCTAGGGCTCTGTCGGTCTTTTGGCACAGGTGGGGTAAAAGTGGCCCTGAAGGAAATGACATGGAGGAAGCGGTAAATCCGGGGAAGACTAGCAGCAGCAGCAGCATGAGACCGGGCCTCTGGATTTCCTCTTGCCCCTCCTGGGCTGCCTTTACCCAGTGTCATCTCATCAAGGCCATCCACCGCTAACCTGGCCCACCGTGTCATTCTTAGGGACTTGAGCAGCCCCGAGGACGAGACGCCAGCATCTCCATAAAAAGTGGTCTACGGCGCTCTCTGGTGGCCAGTGAGAACATAACAGAGGCATAATCTCATTCAACTGCGAACACATCCCCAGCACCTGCTATGAAAAAGTAGCTGACTTTCCAAATGATAACTGGATCCTACCTGAATATAGATATGTTTTGATATGGTATCAAATGATGAAGATAAAACTCACAATCAGTGAGTAAAGGGAGAAAAACAGATACACACCCTCAATCTCATTTTTTCACAAGGTACCTCGGCACCCGGGGCCCTAAAGGAAGCCAGCCAGTGGTTGATTGAACAGCATGCTAAAATAAAAATGCAAAAGGGTTTTGACAGCGGGCAATGAAAGTGTAATAAATATTAACATCTATGTTTAAGAAAATAAATCCAACACATTTCATGAAAATAATGCTTTTAATTATTTTGAGTGAAAAACCTATTTTACCAAATTCAATATAAATCGTGTTTCTTAGACAGCAGCTGTTTGCTGGATTTTAGGTAAGTTAATTTTGTAATTTTAAAACATAACAACTCGTATTCATCTTCCTTTCTTAGCCATTTAAGGATTCGGCAGCTTGGTGCCTGACACCCCTCTTCACGAGGGATCTTCCACCATCTTCTGAAATCATGTATATAGATAATAAAACCAAACTTTTCTTCTTTTCCGAAGAAATGTGATTTTTTTTTAATGTTACCTTCTCCCTCATGACCCGAATCAGGTAGTAACAGCACGGGAGCCATTTAAAGACTTAGAGTAGCTGAGGCCACTGCTGAGAGCAGCGTTATTTAGAAAGCTACAGAGAGCGGCTGGGGGCAGCGGGTTTGGGGCCGGGCTTATGCTGGTCTATGTCCGGTAAACTTTACTTACGGAAGAACACCAGAAACGACCTACACAAAATTCCCTGCATCCTTTTTTGTTTCGCAAGCCCATTTGGGGGCAAAACATAAAATAATGTGTACATGTATGTCGGTGTGTGTTTTGAGTGCAGGACACAGATTATACAGCGTTCTGTCCACTTTGACGGGGAAATCAAATTCAGGAAAGGTTTATGAACTTCTTCTGTTCCAGGTAATCATCACTTTAGATTTGAAAAGTGAAAAAAAAAAAGTTCTTTATAAGAAATAGTTTTGCCCTACGTTGGATCGACAACTCCCTGGGACCGTCAGGCAGGAACGGACCACGAGCAGGACGTGCCGTGAGCATCTCACCACGGCCTGGCACAACCACGCATGTGCGGGTGCGCGCGCACATGGGCCAGCCCCGCCGCCGGGCTCGGGCAGCTTGGGCGCAGGCGCGGGGGGGACCGAGGCCCTCCCCCAGCATGGTGGCTTCCAGGAGGTAAGGACCCATGTTCTTACATCTAAATCTGGCTCCTCGTCAAGGAGCACCATTGGAAAACTATTTGGAACGGATGGAGCAAAACTTCCTTGATCATAATGAAAGATATGCCTCTATGAAAATGGCTTCAAATTTGGAGGAAAAAAAAAAATTCTCGCAACCAAATCTTCCAAGAAATCCAGGAATAGTGCGACTCTATTTTGTAAACAAGCAAGCAAGCAAAGCCAACAAGCCGATCTGGGAAATATTCTACAGAGAGATACTAAGCCCTTCGGGTCTGCATGAGCCATCCTAAGCAGCCTCCAGGGTGGTGGTAACGATGCCATATTCTGCTTCACCTAGAGAGGGGAAGAGAGAGGAAGAAGAATTATTTCATTAAACAGAGTTGACAAATCTTACAAGGTCATCACTCTAGGGAATGATTCAAGCAGCTCCTGATCCAGAAGTTTAGGATTCTGAGTGAATTTCAGCCACTTCAGAGTACTGAAGAATTGCCTGAGTTTGTGCACATTCCTGAATTCTGGTAGCAACAGGTTTAGGGTCCGGCCTTGGAGACTTCATTTTAGCCAGCACCCCTCCCCTGTGAGTATGATGCCCACACGCTCTGGTAGAGGCCTCTGGGATGCAGAGCTGATGACCAGTGCAACTTGTCTGAAACGGACAATAGTCAGATGAGTTCTGAAAGGTCAGCTTTAAGATTGCCTCTCCGGGGCACTGGGTGGCTCAGTCGTCAAGCATCTGCCTTCGGCTCGGGTCATAATCCCAGGGTCCTGGGATCGAGCCCCGCATCGGGCTCCCTGCTTCTCCCTCTCCCACTCCCCCTGCTTGTGTTCCTGCTCTCTCTGTGTCTCTCTCTGTCAAATAAATAAATAAAATCTTTAAAAAAAAAAGATTGCCTCTCCCTAGGATTCTGGTGTCCTGCCTCAGAAGGGGTCACACCCTGGTCTAGACTTTTGTCCTCCTCTCAAAAGGACAGGGAAATGCTCCCTCTTATCTCTGAGCTGCAGAAAAAGGCTCACAAGTCTGCATAATAAAATGGGAACCTCAAATTTATCTATTTTACTCACTTATTCAACATGGAGACTTATAGGCAAGCACATTTTTGTTATTAAAGCAAGCATTGCCCTTGGGCATGTTATTTATACAAAAATAACTGTATTTCAGAGATTGTCACATCCTGTAAACGTGAACTTTAACCTTGCATCGTGGGCCATCCTCCTGGATAATTCATTGCCAGTTCATAATGTTGTAACTGTTGGCTCCATATTCCTATAAAGGAAGGTGGCTTTGTCAGTCCAGGAGAGAATCACTGGCCTGAGCCTCTTCTGCTGTGTGCTCAGAAGCAAAAGAAACGCCACGACTGCTGGGTCCCTCGTTCAAACAAAGAAGCTGAGAACCTTTGTCTCAAGTTATCAGCCTGACAAGTAGCCAGTATTTACTAAGCACCTGCTCTGAGCCATGCACTGTCCTAGGCCCTGTTTGGGATTAAACAGATAAATAAATAAATAAATAAATAAGACCTGAGCTTTGCTGTGAAGAACTTGACAACGGTGATGGGACGTCAAGAGTTCAGTGTGGAACTATGTGGAATGAAGAAAGGCTGAGAATATAAGCCCCCAAGTGAGCTACAGTCTACAGGCCTAACTTAGTCTCACCACCCAGATCTCTGCAAAGCGCCATCAGTCGTCACAAGTACAAGTGCCTCACGTGACTGACCCAGGGTTAGGAGCCCGGCCAGCTAGCGGACAGGTCACCCGAGAAACAGGCTATCGTCATGGTTAGAAGCAAGGTCCCCACCTTGCTAGAGGGGGGAGACTCTAGACCGACCCAGAGCTGGAATGCCAACGTCTCGATCCCAGCACCAACACGTACTGGCTTCAGACTTCAGCCAAGTTTCTTCCTTTTCTGTGCGTCGGCGTCGGCTCTCCATCTTACAGCCGAAGAGAAATATGCCCTAGCGTCTTGCAGGGAGAATTCAGTGTGTAAGGCAGTCAGCACGGCGCCGAGCCAGCAGCAAACGCTCACCTCCCACTGGAGGTGGCCTCGAGGACGGCAGCTAGGCCACCGACCTTGTCCCCAGGGAAAAGCCCAGACTTCTGTGTTCCTTCATTGGAACCCTGACCTAATTTCAAAGGATCTGATCACACCCTTCTTTCCTGTCCTTTTCCCATCTTCAGGCTATTTTCTTCTTCGTTCTCTCCTGGGTGCCCTCGGGTGTCAACCTCCCCCCACTGCCCTCGGGTGTCAACCTCCCCCCACCCCAAGTGTCCACTTGCTGGTGGGTGCCCCACACGGCCCCCCAGCACTCACAGCACTGGGGCTGATGGGCACGGGGCTGCGCACGCAGACTCAGATGTGGACCATTCACAGTCCAGAAGTACCCAAGTCTCATTCTCATGGGAAAAGGCCATCACAGGTCAGCCAGGGCCCCAGAGCATCGCCTTAGTTCAAGCCTGTAGACAGAGCTTGGGGGCTTGTGAACTTGGATGGAAAATAGACGTTTTCATTTTCATTAAGCTCTAACTAAAATTTATCATTTCCTTCAATGATGAATGTAGGCAACAAACCCGGGTGGTGATAGCATATCTGTGACTGTCACCAACAGAAATAAAGAAATCACAGATACTCACATCACGTTAAGAGTTGTCACAAATGCCACAAAATGTTCAGTGCTCACTACTCAGAAAGTACAGTAATGTTACAGACTCACTATTAAATTTTATTTAATGTGTTCATTAAAAAGTCAACATATTATTACACCACACATTTAAAAAATATTTTTTATAAATGTATTTCAATAGAGTTGTTTCCGTTGTATTTCGTATGTATTTTATACACCTAAAATATTATTCTGAGGGGAAGTCATAGGCTTTACCATCTTGCTAAAAGGGTCGGTTCACGGTACATGAAATGGTTAAGACCCTCCCTTGCTTTAAAAGATCGAGGACTGCTAATCAAAGTTGCAGTATTAGAAAGAAGAAAGATGTGTAAATACTTACTGAAATGTGACATTATAATATTCTTCAGGTGTCACTATTTTTGGTCCACCAAAGTAGTCCAGGACCCAGATGTTGGTTATGTTCAACTTGGCAAAGAACCAATTATGGCTGGACGGCCAGGTTTTCATCTCAGGATGCCGGACAAACAGGGAATGCTTGGCAAAACCCGTTTCCGTTTGGTTCACCTGAAGGGCATATGTGACGTAAACGACTCCTAGCAACCACACCCTGTGTTCTCACCTGCTAAGGACGTGGGGTTCTAGCATTCTACAAATCCTGAAGGGTCTATTTAGTTGCTGATCTTAAACTTAAGGAATCAAGAGGAAACAACGGAAGCATGCAGAAAAGCGGAAAACACCCGAGAATTCAGATGCTGGTGGTCCACATATACTGATGTGGGAAACCACCCCGAGTACCGACTTCCATTGCCCGACAGTCATTCCGAGCTATCAGAGTAGCCGGCACAGGGCGCATGATAACATGCTAGGATGCTCATGCCGTGTCACATCGGCACACGTATCCCGTAACAAGCATGTGTTCAACATGGAGATGCAAATCCCCAGAGGATAAAGGTCTCGGGAAAAAGCACAGTGGAACTCAAGAGCATTTGCTGCCCCTCCCCCCTTCTCCTGCTCGTGAAATGCAGCCACAGAGATGCGTCCACACAGAACTTCCAGACCATTAATCAAACTTGTCTGAGGTAATCATGATCGACAAGGTCAAGAAGCACATCTGCTGGCAAGGCCATCAGATCAGTGCTCGGACACCTTGCCCTCTGCCTTGCAGTGTTCACCCCACTGTCTAAATTCACATCTGGCACCCCTCTTTCAGCTTCCGTGGTCTGCTCTCAGCCCTAAGCCACTGTTAAAATATGGAGACAAGGAGCCCACACAGGGGAAACACTGTGCAGTGCACAACACGGCCAATGGCAGAGGGCTTTGGTTGAACAGATGTTCCTTACAGAGGAGCTGAGCAGCTGTTACATCTGTTCAGCTTCAAAAACTCATTCATTTTCGGCATAAATATCAAACACCTATACGAAGTCAACCGATTTAAGCCTCTAGTTTTCATGAAAGTACAGATTAGAATATATTCTCACTCTGTATCTCAATCATAAATCATTTTCATTTTATTCTTAAGGTATCTCTTCTTGGGGCGCCTGGGTGGCTCAGTCAGTTAAGCGTCTGCCTTCGGCTCAGGCCATAATCTCAGGGTCCTGGGATCGAGTCCCGCAGCAGGCTCTCTGCTCAGAGGGGAGCCTGCTTCTCCCTCTCCCTCTGCCTGCCGCTCCCCCTGCTTGTGCTCTCTCTCCCCCAAATAAATAAATGAAATCTTAAAAAAAAAAAAAAGTTGTCTTTTCTTTCATTGTTAATAGATGATGCTCTTCTAAAGCCCGTCTCTGTTCTTGTTAACTACTCACCTTGGTAACAGTTCCCGACAGTATTATGTGAGCACAGAGGGGACTTTGGGGATCAAATCCCTGCTTCCTGCAGAAGTTAGTCTGTGCCAAAGACATGGTCAGCGTAGCATGTGGATTCTCCTGTACAGAGAAAATAAAGATCCCCACACGTGAGATACTGTCTCTGGAGAGGTAATAAACCTCATAAATCACATACACACTGTCCCTAGAGCTGAGCGTTCTTCCAGGAAACAATGAATTGTAAAATACCACCTACCACTTGAGAAAATTACTAGTTGGGTAGAGTTTGATCTTGACCTTTCCTCCGAAAAAGCAGGGGCTAAGGTTCCATAGTTAAGATTAACTGATTCACTCTTTTTTCTTAAACTCTTAATCTGTTTCATATTCACCAGAAAAATGACTATTACAGTATTGCCCAAATACAAGGCTGGTCTAGAGCCTTCACTGAAAGATCTAAGGGCTTAGACTCTAATATGAAACTAGTGCGTAAAAATACACAGTTGTTCACCTAGCTAATCGTACAATTTAAGCAAGAAAGTTGCTGAATCATGTTTTTTGGTTATCTTATGCTAGCAGAAATTGTCTTGTGATTTCAAAATTGGAGAAGTTGTTCATTCCTGTTTTAGCAATAAGAGAAGTGTCAGCATGTAAAGTAAAGTAAGCAAAATTCTTCCTCCTTATTCAGAAATCAGCTTCATGAAAGGCACTGTTGAGAGATCACAGCAAAATTCACACATTGCATTTAGTGCTTTAAACTCCAAGTGGCTTGTGTGGGAAATTCTGCCATCTCATGGTGACCTATCAAAACAATGAGTATAAAGAGAGCTCCTTGAAATCATTTAGCCAAACATTCACTGTCTGTACACTCTTAGGCAAGAGGCCAGAGGAGACAAAAAAAGGGGGGGGGGGGTTCGCCTTTCTCTGTGACTTTATAATCTGGTTGAAAAGTCAGACATAAACAAAACTTAAATAAATGCAAGATGACCCAGAAGAGATCAGAAGACAATATATAACTAATTGTCAAGTGGATGGTACAGTGAAGTGTATTTGAAGTTTAGTATACGGAGATGTCAACATAGCCTGGAGTAATATGGACACTATAGAGAGCCTTATAAAATATTCAAAATCAGGACAGAAGTGGGATGATGTACTAAAGGTAACGGGAATTTCAAAAACAGAACTGGGGAGATGTGGCACATGATTATGAGTTATGAGAAACCCAATCTGCTTGAAAGAGAGGTTTTGGGGTGTGTGGGGGGGATGTGGGAGAGGTGGTGGGGTTGGGGGAGTGAGGGTGGCTCAACTCCAAGCTAAGGAGTCAAGATTGTGCTCTGCAGGCTAGAATCTGTGCTTTCCAAGAACCACCTGCATGGAGAACTTGTTAAAATGCTGGTTTCTGGGCTCCGTTCCCAGCCCTGGTATTTGTACTTTTAACAAACATCCCAAGTGAATCTTACACAGCTCTAGGCAGCCAGATGCTGTTAAAGGTTTCTGGGCAGAGGGCAATGCTGTGTGGTATTTTGTTCATGTAAATCTGGCGGGTAGGGTGACAGGGGGAAGACAGAGGTCAGAAGGAGGAGGTAGAAACCAACCTGACTGGTTAACTGACGGAATCAGAGTCAGACTAATTCTGACATGGCCACACCTTTTCACTGCCATCACAGAAACCTGAAATCCAGGAGAGGTTCCTTACACCGTCTCTCTAGACAGGTCAAAGACCTGGGCTGGAGTTCTCCCTGGCAGCCTTTAGTGGCTGGGCACAGGGGAGTCCCCTCTGAGTCTTAGTTTTCCTCCTTCCTACAAAGCAGATGACCATATCAGCGAGACTTTAAATATAATTACGGATAGCACTGGTTCTCAATCCCCCTCCCTCTTTAGAAGCATCAGGGAGGGATTGGGGAGTTGTGTGTTTTTGTTTTCTTTTTTTTTAAATAAAATGTGTTTTTAATAAAATACCCAGGTACCGTATTTTTAAAAGTCTTCCCAGATGACTGTGTTTGTAGCCAGGGTTGAGCATCGCTGACTGAGTGGAATGAGCTTGCTTTGGGCAAATGCCTGAGAGTGGGGTGGCCTGGGAATAAGGAAGGGGTGAATGGAGGTGTGTGTATCTTAAAAAGAGCAGCGGTTTCTGTTTTTTACTCACAGAATTCAGGTCCCCAGGGGCACAGATCTTCCAAGAAACTAAAAACTTAGATTTGTGGGGCTCCTGGATGGCTCAGTCGTTAAGTGTCTGCCTTCGGCTCAGGTCACGATCCGTGTCCTGGGATCGAGCCCTGCATTGGGCTCCCTGCTCAGTGGGAAGCCTGCTTCTCCCTCTCCCACTCCCCCTGCTTGTGTTCCCTCTCTCACTGTGTCTCTGTCAAATAAATAAATAAAATCTTTAAAAAAAAACACCTTAGATTTGTAATTGAAATCTCAATTTTCGAATGTTGGTAACTACCCTAGCCCCTCCCTCCCCACTCACAAGGAATATAATCCAAGACCCTCTGTGGATGGCTGAAACCTTATATAGACTATGCTTTTCCTATACACACACACACCTGTGATAACGTTTAATTTATAAATCCATCATAGTAAGAGATTGGCAACAATAACTAGTAATAAAATAGGACAATTATAACAATATACTGTAATAAAAGTTAGGCGAATATGCTCACTCTCTCTCAAAATATCTTATTGTCCTGTACTCACTCATCTAATGATAATGCTGAGAGATGATCAAATGCCTAGGGAACGAGGTGAAGGGGGTAGGCTTTGTGACCTGGAGCTAGGCTACAATTATCTGACAATATCTCAGAAGGAGAATCCTGTGCTTCTTAAATACAGTTGACTTCAGGTAGATGAAACCACAAAGTGAAACCACGGAAGGACGGGGGGGGGGGGGGGGGGGCGGGAGGGGGCGGCGACTACTGTAATTCAAATTTATTATAAAACCAAACAGAACTCTGTGTGGGCCAAAGAAAACTGGTCTGTGGGACATATTCAGGTCATGTGCCACCATTCTGTGACCTGTATTTTGAGGGCAGCCCTGGCACAGTTGGGCTACTGGCTTTGGGCAAGTCACTCAACCTAAGCTTCAAGTTCTTCATCCGCAGCCCATTCCCGGACTCTGTATGGCTCTAGCTCCCTCACGCTGTAGAGTTGTGACACCACTTGGGACAGCACGGATCCACCAGAGGGTTCTAAGCCTGGCCCCGCCACAAAAGCCGGGCAAAGGGTGACCACATAGACCTCACATCAGTTCTGCTCCGAACCAGGGAAGGTAATGTGCACCGGGGGCCTCAAGGCTGCCTTAAACACTCACGATGTAGTGTATTAGCTTCTTGCTGCTGAAAGGAAAATTCTTAATTCAGAAGGAAGGGTACGCCCTGTAAGACTTTTAATAGCGCCACGGTGCCCCAGTTCGACTCAAGGCAGGAAGTCCCCTCGGCAGGTGCTGCCAAAGAATTGACCCCAGCGGCGGGCGGGCGGGCAATTCCCGCCTTTAGTTGCCCAACAGTTGGAATGCTGCAAAGCAGGCGCGGGAGGTACGAGGCAGGGCTCAGGGCCGCGCGCAAATTCTTCCCTCGAGCTGCCCCGCCCTCCTTCCCCGGCAGAATTTCGGCGACAGTCGGAAGGCTGGCCCTGCGGCCTCCGGCTCACCTGCAGGTTGCCCACCGACTGCTGCAGCGGGCTCAGGTAGAAGTAGGGCACGCCGCTGCCCGCGCCCGGGGGCCCGTCGCTGAGCGACAGGACGTCGGCGAAGGCCCAGCCGCGCACCGCCGGGTCCGTGGACAGGGTGGCCAGTGCGCCCCAGTCGCAGACGTGCGTCACGAAGCGGGCCACGCGCGCCGCGTCCTCGCGGGGCGGCAGCGGTGGCAGCAGCTCGGCGGCGGCCCAGTCCCCGTGATCCCGGCCGTCCCGGCCCCGCGCCGGCGCCACGAGCAGCGCCACCAGCACGGGCGCCAGCAGGGCGGCGAGCAGCGCGCGCGCGGACCCGCGGGCTCGGCGGGCCATGACCGCGACTCCAGAGAGTCTGAGGCCCCGCGACCGACTGGGTCGAGGGTTAGCCCTGCGCCCCCGGCCCCGCCCACCGCGGCGCAGGCTGGTCACGCCCCCTCCGGGGGGCCAATCGGAGTCCGGGGAGCGGAGGGGGCGGGGCAACTTGCTGGGGCCCGACTTGTTTATCCACCTCCCTGCCGTCAGCCAGCCGCTTTTTTTTTTTTAATATTTTATTTATTTATTTGAAAGAGAGAGAGCGAGCGTGCATGGGGGAGGAGCATAGGGAGAGGAAGAAGCAGACTCCCCGCTGAGTGGGGATACTGAGGTCGGGTTCGATCCCAGCACCCCAAGATCATGACCTCAGCCGAAATCAGACGCTTACCCGGCTGAGCCCCAGGCGCCCCTCCCCGGTGGGGATCTTTAAGGACCGTGAAATTGTCCTAAATGTGAAGTTTGCTTTGTTTGGCAGATGGGAAAACGGAGGCTCAGAGAAATTAGGAAACTTGCCTACGTCATCCTGTTTGGAGAAGACTGGCGTCTTCACACGCACACCTTTTTAAAATACCTTTGGATACGGATATTTGGCGTGTGAGAAGAAATGCTGCACTTTCTGTATATGCTCCCCTTTTTTGTTTGCTTCACTATCCGCACCGAAGAGCAGCCAGGGTCCTGGTGGTAAAGGACAGAAGCCCCAAAGTTTAAGACTTTATAAGCTGCTCCTGGCCCAGAGTCTCTTACTCAGAGACACTAAGGGATTGCTAGTCTACCCTTAGTATCCCATGCACAAATTTGAACTTACTGAAACCAGTTTGGGACCTGAAGTCATTGGAGGGGTCTGTGGTTTCACACATTTCTCACCCTTAGTGACCCTCTCACGCCATGTAAATAGCATTTCCTTTCGCTCCTGCTAAGAATCTTCTTCCAGGAGGAGCATTTTGGGCATTGTTCCCTGTGCCCCACATGCTCTTCCCTCAGCTGTGGGCATGGCTACCTCACTCCCATCCGACCCATTCTTTCAGGTGTACCTTCTCATTATAATATTATCGGAATTGGTAAATGACCTCAGACCACCTGACCTACATTCTTTTATGTTATGTTAGTCACCATACATTACATCATCAGTTTTTGATGTAGTGTTCCATGATTCATTGTTTGTGTATAACACCCAGTGCTCCATGCAGAACGTGCCCTCTTTAATACCCATCACCAGGCTAACCCATCCCCCCACGCCCCTCTTATACCTGTAAGCTCTGGTCACATCTCCTCTGAGCGAATCCTACTCTTTTTGGCCAGGCCTCATATCCCCACCCTAATTGTTGTAAATGCTGCGTGGTGGTGCTTTGCAGGCATTTGTCAGCTTTGAAAATCCGGCTCTGGCAGCTACCTGGCCCTCTGTGGCTGAGTTCAATAGAGATGAAGTAATTTCACTCAGCTGCTGTGGGCCAATCACGTGAGCAGGTGCGGGCAACAGGTGTGCGAGCCAAAGTCCTGCCTCTGCTTTCTGTCTCAAACTCAGCCATATTCAGCTGAGAAGATTCTCAGGCTACTCGGTGAGAACTTGTGTACAGAAAGAAGACTATTTACTCTGAATAGGTGTTTTCAGTTCCCTCTGGTAGCCAAAGGATGTTACAGTCCCTGCTTTCACATTCAAGTAAGAAGAGTGTGAGCAACCCTTAATCAAAGTTGGTTTCCTTTTTAACAACTGGATTTGGAAGAGCTTCAAGCTAGAAGGAAAACTAAAGAGGGAGAAATTTAAGAGCAGGAAGATCAGGTTTATAATTTTCAAAAGAAATACAAAGAATTTGAGTAACTGCCTTAACCTGTTAAGGAAAGAGTGTACATAATTTCACATTTGGAGTTCTAATCTCAGCCCTGCCACTGGCAAGCCTTGGACCACAGGACTTCCATTTCACCTTGTTGGGGCTCAGTTTTCTCACCTGAAATGAGAAGTTAGATTAGATGATATCTGACACCTCTGTTGACTCTTTAATCTATTAACATGCAAAATATGGGCCTTTAGTAAGTTTCACAATGACACTTTTTGCAAGAGGACAAAAAAGACATCTTTTGTTTATTGCTATACCACCTGTTGCTGGTATACAAAATAACAATCGGCCCTGTATAGCTCCATTGCAAAACAGGTGCCTGGAAGTTGGTCTCCATGCACTTGAGCTTAAGAATGAGGTCTACAAACCCCCTCCTCGGTGTCTGTCTTTGCACTCACTATTCCCTATGCCCCGCATGCTCTTCCTCAACTATGGGCATGGCTACGTCACTGCCATCCAGATCTCCACTCAGATGCACTCCCCAGAGGTGCCTCCTTGACCACTGTTTCTGAGAGGCCTTCTTCACTTACTCTGCAGTGGGCAACACTATTCATTTCTTTCATAGCAATTATCACACTCTGTAGAAACTGTATCTATTTATATAGTTACTTGTTTAATGGTCTCCCCTGCTGGAACCCAAACTCCAGGAGAGCAGGAATGTTGTTTATCTTATCCACCCCTGTATTCCCAATGCACAGAGTAGGCACTCAATAAATATTTACTGAATGGCTGCCTGACTGAATTAATAATATCCATTGGAATTCTTTGCACATAGAGCCTTCTAAAATCAACAGTAGGAAGTGAGGTTGACTAAATGGAGATGCTCGAGAATAACATCAGGTGCTTCAGCTCTTAATTAGCAAACCCTCCTCATTGGAGTATCGGGGAAAACCCTTAGCCAGGAGGGGCTGGATCCACCATCCAGATCCTGCTGGTCTCATCTGGACTTTCTGTCTTTATTTGAACAGGCTGAGCTGCTCTCCATCCCCCATGGGCTCACCAGAAATTAGTTCTCTTCTCTGGGTTTGACCGTGGTCAGGAACCCCCACTGCGTGCTCCCCCTCTCACACAGTGCTGCCCTTGTCATGAGTCTGGGTCACTACCATAGTGCTGCGTGGATGACTCCTCCAGGGGCCAAGGGAATACGGAGGAAGGAGCCCAGGAAGGCTTCATATCAGGGGTAATTCTTGAGGTGAAACTTGAAGGATAAATAGAAGCTTGGCAGACAATGAGAAAGTTGGGGGAGAGGAGGAAAGGGAGAGTTCTGCACTGAGGAAGTAGAATGTACGCAGGAAAGATATTGTGTGTTGGGAAAAGCAGTCGTAAGATGAAGGGAGTGTGAAGAACCAACGGTGGGCGATGGGCACGCTGGTGCCAAGGACTGGAATCACCTCCAGGCTCTGCTGGGACCAGGTCCACTGCTAAGCTCACTCACCGGTAGGATGCAGTCCCTGGTGCGTTCTGGACTGAGGGCCTCGGTTTCTTGCTGGATGCTGGTTGCAAGCCTCCCCCCACTCCTTGCCCCGTGGCCTCTCCATAGGGCAGCTCACATCCCAGCAGCTGGTTTGAAGCAAGTGGTTGAGCAAGAGAGAGAGAGAGAGAGCCAGCAAGATGGAAACCAGAGTCTCTCTATGGCTTCGCTAGACTCTCAGAGTGACACCCTATCACTCGAGGGGAGGGGACTGACACAGAACGTGAGTGGGCCGGAGAAGCACACAGGGTTGTTGCAGTCACACGACGGCGGCGTTCAGTTACAAATACAGCCAGGATGACTTCAGAAAAGCATCCGCAATGTGCGTTCATCCTCCAGCCCCTCTCTATACCCTCCCCCGGTCTCATGCCTTCGTCTAGAAATGGAACATGGCGGAAAGGGGAAGGAGAGACTAAAATACCCTCAACTACATACACTGAAAGTGCCTATGGTGGCAGCAATGTTTGGCCACCGTGGAGCCCCTGCCCTGATGGCGCCTGGCACAGATCTGCAGCATCTGGCTCCACGGTGTCCCCAGAAGTGGCTCGACTAAAGGCTCCGACAACAGAGGAAGGGCCCTCATGCCTCTGTGGGTAGTGGTGGCCTCAGCAGTGGAGGGTGAGCTCATCTGTGAGCCCCTGTGAGACTCCTCAGTGATGGGAATGCTTGGAGGAAATGCACGTCCCACCATCGTGAGTGGAGGTGAGGACCTCCTCCAGCGTGTTATTGTTAACGTGACCCAGGCATGTCTGTCTGCTGGACAAACAGAAGCTACTTCAATAGGTGAAGCTGTCATCGGACAAAAGGGAAAACCATGAGCTAGCTAGCTAGAGACTATGTTTGAGGTGATCGAGAAGCTGGCTTTGGTCAAGGTCTTCAAGTGCAACAACTGGACTGAATCCCTGTGTTGCTTCTCTACAACCTCCAAGAGTCTTAAGCTTGATGGCAAGATCCTCACTTATCAAGAAAGTGGCTGAGTGGCGTGGAGAGGTGTGGGGGAGGTAGGGAAGGTGGGGCTATTAATAGTTTTTCCCAAAAGCAAGAAGGAAAATGAGAGCTAAGTAGTGACAGACAGAGTTGAATTGTCAGGACATTATGTGGCTCGTACAGGAGGTGCTTTAGGTCTTCGCACGCATCATTACTAAACGAGTGTTTGATAAATATTTCTATTTTTAATGTAAGGGGCGTTTGCACCATAGAAAAAGCTATATTTATGAGGTCATGTCTTTTGTTTTGAATAATCACAGGCTTTGAGATAGACAGGGATGATTTAATTTTGGAGGTTAAATTGTGACAGAAGGTACTGTTAGTAACTGGGCGACTGCTAGAACACCAGCTACAGTAACTAGAATGAATTACAAGTCCTTTAAAGCCTTCGCCTTATAGAGATGCCTGGGTGGCTCAGTCGGTTAAGCATCTGACTCTTGATTTCGGCTCAGGGCATGATCTCAGGGTGGTGAGATCAAGCCCTGTCTTGGGCTCTGTACTGAGTGTGGAGCCTGCTGAATATTCTCTCTCTCCCTGTCCTTCTGCCCCTACCCCCCACCACTCATGCGTGTGCACACCCTCTCTCTCTCTAAAAAAAAAAGGTAAATAATAAAAAAAAGAAAATGTAAAGGCTTTGCCTTATAGATGCCACTATGGATGTGTGAAAAATCATAGACCAGAACACACTATAAAAAAACAATTCTCAGGCACCTGGCTGGCTCAGTCGACAGAGCTTGTGACTCTCGATCTCAGGGTTGGAGGTTTGAGCCCCACA